TATAGTACTATCCACTTCAAATTTATACCTTTTGCCGGTCCTGCGTAGAACGAGAACAATAAAAAAGACAGTAACAACGAGATGTAGTTACTGCGTCTGCGAGCAAACGTTTTCTCTGCAGTCCGTAATTCAGCATCCAAAACAATAGTTTTACGCTATTAACAACGTTGACCGATAATAGGCATTACTCCACGTCTGCATTTTACACGTGCAGTACTATTGGTATTCTACTTCAAAACTAAGAATTGAAAGTTCTCATTTTTTTTATGTTTTATTTCTTCAAACCTCGACGAATTTGTATTCACTCCAAATATGTTTGCCCATATTCTAAATGTAATATAATCATCTCCATTGTTATCAGTTCTGACCTAATTCATATATTTTATTATAACACCAATTCTGAATGGCTTTTGGAGTAACTCAACATCACACCACTGCATATTCTACACAAAGCAATTATTTCAGCGCTAAAGTTTTCACGAAAAAAGGCTATATAAAAATAAATCGTTTCAGTTTTGGACCGGCTACGTTCAGGCATTTTATGACAAGTTTAGATTCTATCATTTCCGACAAACGTTTTCTTGAAGGACGACGGAGGCCGTGGGCCGAACGTTACGTCTTTGAATGAAATCGATTATATAAATAAAATATGAATTAAATGTGACAAAGAAATAACTTTGTTAGGTACAATATAATGGAAATCCGTATCAAAAATCAACAATAGCAGGAGTTATCTTGCAGAAGTCCACCAGGAAAATCACGTCTTAAGGTCTTAAGGTCCTAGGCTAATTATCTAAAAGGCAACGGGCTATGATATCAAATGCTAAGATATGAAAATTTCGTCGAAAAATGCAATTGATTCTTTTACTGGTGTTACGATATGGAACTATTTTATGGACGATTCTGGTCCCAGTCAGAGATGTTGCTACCAGCAAAGACATGTCATGTGCCTTGAGCGACCCTGCTTAAAATTGAGAGTAGTTTCATCATAGGGAACAAACTTCAAAAAAGATGTATCCTAACTAGAGATACGTTGACACTTTCTTCAAATAAATATATTTTTTACATACACCCAAAATTAAGACAGTATTACAAACATTCTGTCATATTTGAGATGAATGCTAAAGATCTCATCAATATTCAACAAATAAAGTGATAAACCTTAAGAATTAGTTTATATTCCATGCGTTTGCTTCCAAATTGCCAACAGCGGCAAATTATCATTCACATTTGGGCCCAAATGTGATAGGTTCCCGTCACAGTACTTTTTGTATTAGAAAATAAATCAATTTATTAATATACTTCACTTGATAGAGAAAAACCATGAATTATAAATCAGTGTGAAGAACGTGCAAAAAAAAATTTAAAACATGCCATTTCATGAATTTTCTTGTTTGCAACTTGTGCCAAAGGACAAATCCCGTCAACAGACCTCAATAAAAACGAGAATTCCATTGAAAACGCATGATCATGAAACATCGGTGTAAGATCATAGATACAGTAACTTACGAGAACTAAAGAATCTTGAAATGGAGATAAAGGTATTGTACAATGCCTGGTCTACCTGAGAGATACATTCAGGGCTAGCTCAGGTGTCCACCTCACTTTCTCGCATAGTTCCCTGACTAAACAAAGGGGTGTAGCATTCATATCAAAATCATTCAAAATTCGTATATTCTCCTGCATACATAGCAATATATTCTGAAGACTCCACTAAATAATCATTGTAATAAAATATTTTGAAAAAGAGATTTTGACAATTTTAGCAATATTTATACCTTAAATGTTGCGTAATGATTTTACATTCTGATTCACTGTATATTGTCACAAAAATATTTTCCAAGATAAATAGAGAGCTTCATAATAATTACCTCCGCAAGAGCGGCAAAATATATTGACCTAGTTTAATATTCAAGGCTCTAATGTGTAAATGATCCACATTTAACATATTACATGATTACATACTACTTCATAACCTGCTTATACTAGTATGAGGTGACTTTACATTGAACTTCACAGAGAAATCCATAGGCGTGCTTGGCCTAAAACAAGGGGAAGAGTAAACTACATTTCTGGGTCTCCGTTTGTATTACACATTTTCATTTATATATAACACATTTTACTAGTAGTAAATAAATAAAACATACTACAAGAAGAACGAAATTATAATTTTAATTATACAATTGATAAATTTGCAATTTATTTTATATTGAACAAATTATGGGTCTGCTAGTTGGCTTGGGGAGCCTCTTCCAAAAATGACATAACAATTTTCCAAATTGTTATGTCATAACAAGAGGACCCATAAAAATGATGAAAATCAGAGTCTAGGCATATTTACGGAAATAGATGTTTTACTAGCTGGACCCGAGTGAACATTTCGCACTTTGTAAATCATTGTTTTAAAAGTGAAAATAGCTTCATACAGGATTCCGTCTTGAGGCCAGAACATGAACCATGCATTGAAACATTGCCTGGTTCAATCGGTAAGGACGGTATGGCCTGTTAAAATTCAATTTAAATTTATATACATTCTTAGTTTCTGCTCATTTCTGACCACCCTGGTGCGAGAGAGGGTGCCCCAGAAGAACTTAATCTTCTCTCTATTCTTCTCTTCCCTTGACTCCGTATGTTTCCCTATACATATATATCTGTAACAAGTATTGTATAATCACTATGCCAATGACCCTATCTTGATCAGGTTTTTTGTCCAGTTTCACTGGTCCTTTGAGCAAATGCTGAGATGGCCCTTTGTTTTGCTACTGGACAATAAAAATAAATGTAACTTCACTCGCTGCACCCAAGATGTATTTATATCATACTTGACTCGCCATACACGATTGTAATTGTATATGTGACTCAATAAATATTATTATTATTATTATTATTATTATTATTACATATAGGATATACGAGTATTTCCCCCGCACCTTCTCCGCGTGTTCCCTCACAAGTTCACCACAGGTTCTCTATCATGTTTACCACATGTACTCTCTTATTTTCACCCCATGTTCCCTTAATTGTTACAAGTGTCTTCGCGGGTTCATCACAAGTTCCCACATGTTCCTTCAGATTAGCCCAGATGTTCCCCACATGTTCTCTCAATGTTCCTTTAAATGTTCTCCCAAATTTTCCGTACATGTTCACCATATGTTTCCACACTTGTTAATTTGGAAAGTACATTGAAAATCCAGAAATGTGAGTGTTTTTATTACAAAATACTGTTACAAACGATACTGTGACGTTTAGTTCAGTGTCTCCCCTACCGGATGAGATAGGAAGTTCTGTATAGCTTAGAGTACACAGAAGAGCGAAAACTCGAAAAACTATATTAATAGAATGGCTCCAATGATTTTTCGCAAAACACTGCAATATACAATAAATAAAGATTTTAAATCATTGTTTTAAAAGTCAAAATACAGAAACACTGAAACCTAACTTTCAGAGTTTCTGGCATTTCGTACTACGTAGTGACGGTTAATCATGTAATAGAACATCCAAGAATGGTATCATTTTGTTGATTACGATATAGACAACTGTACCTCGTAATTTATCACATCAGCAACTCAATTATTTAAAGCTCTAGGATGCCTCGTTTCCGAGTTATGGACGACGGCAAAGAATGTTGCGGCGTAATATGCTTTGTGGGTTGCACGTGCGCCTGAGAATAAAAAGCCATAACAAGCAATCTTCTATGTTCTTCGCCTTTAATCTCTTTGATGCACGCCGGGGGGGATTACTTCTCTGTAGTAATACACTTTCGGATTTCGTGTTTATTGTTTCTTAAAAAATGGAATAGTCTGTCATTTTTCTTGGTGTATTATTTACAAATTTTGTGAAGCTACAGCGCCCCTTTCAATTTTTTCTGAGGGATATGGACCCCCTCTTCTCGCTCTATGTAGAAATCTATTGTAGAAACATATTAACACTTTCTTTTTCCCCTATATTTCATATATTTCTAAAATCCTGTTCAGCAATTGAATTTTTTGTTGAAGTTTATTTATCAAAGTTATTTCAATAATTTTGCATGTTTATCATTAGTTCGCTATTATAATATACTATTTTACCACATTTATTGTGTAATTGGTTACATTACTTCTATATATAATATTTCTCCTGGGAAGTAGCTTTTAATAATTTTTATTTTCCTTGTCATAATCCTCAGGCACTAAAAATTCTAGAATAGTGAGGAATTCAAATTAATAAATAACTAGGTTGATTAACATCTCTTAATACAGATTCTATGAAGCTAAGAGGAAAGGAACTGCTATGCCATAATTTTATTAATGTTTGAGAATTTGTTTATGACTATTAAAATGCAATAGTGCCCTATTACAAGTGAAAAACATTAAGTCAAAATTTTTCAGTTTTGACTGCATTAGTTTTTCTGCTTTGAGTTATACTGAAATTTAGTCTGGATATATAACTCTATGTCAAATGGTCTATGTTGACTTAGTGTATATATATCTGGTCTGAAGTTCAATATACCACAGAGCAGAGAAACCAATTTACACAAAACAAAAAAAGAATAAGTTAATGTAATTTTTCACTTGTAATTGGACAAACGATAATATTTTATGAAATCACATAATAAATAAACAAATAAAAATAATGAATTGTCCAATACATTGTCAAAAGACCAACTGCTACTCTTTTTCTTTTGTGATGCGAATTAAGAATATAAATGCGTAACACAATAAAATAGTATAGTCAATTTCCTGAGAGAAAAAAGAAAAATCTAATTATAGACAAAATTCTTTTGAATGACATTTTTTCAATATGCCTTGCATAATCATATTGAATAGGCATACAGACAAAAAGTTTTTTTTTTATAACAGCATTAAAAAATTCATAATCATGTAATTTAAAGTCAAATTGCCAATAACTCGACATTTGGCAAATCGATTCTTTTAAACCAAAGCAAATATTATACTGATATCATCTGACAAAAGAGTAATTAATAATATATAATGGGAAAAGGACAAAATAAGAGAAACAGATTCACATTATTTCAAAATTGTATTGTCTACAATTTATAAAATATATCAGACTAAAAGATATCTTTGCAATATCACAGATCTCATTCACAATCAACACATCCATTGGCAGGCAGAATTGCCAGCCACCTACAGAAGAAGCACATGGAACATGGAGACCTGCCAACAGGAGCACAATCAGAACAGGACTTCTTTTATTCTCACTCAACCACAGGCAGTCAGCCAAATTCTACCATGTTCAATACATACTTTCTGGTGCATCAGCAACAAGGCACTTTGCACTAACATGTATGATTTTGCTGCCAAGAAAATTCTTCACCCGATTAATTTACTTTTACTTTAAGATGAATTATTAGAGTAGTACATAAAGCATACATTTTATTTATTTCTTATCTTGTAATTAAGATCACACATTTTTTATTACAAATGTTTGTGAATTTCCAAAGATCAATTAAAAAAATCTATATTTTATTACCATAAACATGAATTAAAAGTTAATCCTCTTATAAAATATATTTTGCACCACACCATTATAAGCAAAAATGTGTACAAGAATCTGAAAATATGTTAACTTTTCACAAGAACCATACACTCTGTTTCTTTTAAAGCCATAAATCTCACATATTATTATAAACCACACAAAACTTCCATCAATAAGTCTTTTAATTATGAAGACACCTTTTCATTACGGTCAAATTTTGTATTGGAAGTATAACCATTTAAATGCAAAATACAAGAAATTCTACTCTAATTACTCTTTCCCACATCATAATTAACATTGTGCTTCATAGCCATGGTGTCTTTGGTTTTCACTACAAAATTACTAACTTAACATAATAACAAACATTTGTATTTTAGTTATTTCATAATATATTACTATACATTTCCCTGCTATCCTCACACTGGATGCATTACATTCATAATTACTAATAATTCACAATATGAAAATAGTATTGTAAGAAATAACCACCTCACAGTCTCTACAATCACATACATAAAATATTTTGTTTTAGGAATATTAACCTCATCACAGTTTTATACTCATATATACAGTATAAGCTCCCGAATTCATACTTCCAATCAAATAGTAGGTACACAAAATGCATACATTACTTTACACATGTTCCTTCAAAATCAGGTACACAGTTCCCAAAGTCAAATAAGAGACCAACAGAAAGAGGAAGCAGGGAATAATTTTGAAATCACCACTAACAGACTTCTTTTATAATGTCAGTTCTGGAAGAAGAAAAAATTCCTTCTTTAGAATCTAAAAAGAAGTGTCTTGCAAAAATCATTCCACTGAGATATGTTTTGATTATTGAATTGAAGTCCATATAATGTAGTATTATATTGGATGTAAATAAGCACTCTCTAGTTCAAAATATGTGGCATTCTATTTTTTTACAGTGAATGATCAACTTCATTTTTCTCTTTTTTTAAAACTTCTTAAGACCAGAAAAATGTAAACATTTTTATTAAAGATCAAAGTAATCTCAATGTACCTCATTATATGTTATCCACTCTGAATCCCTATCTACGCTCTGTCTGTTGCCGCAAACTAACATCTCCAACCAGTGAACCTAAGCATGGTCTGAATAGCAAAACAATTCATACAAAATCAGATGAATATGTTTACGTTAAACCTCTTTTCAAGCTCTAATTATTTAGAGGACAATACAGCATTCATTATATTTTTTAAAACTTTTTACCAATAAACAACTTTAAAAACAGAAAGCTTGCTTAAGAATTGAAGGAACTGGTTTAGAAAATGACATGTGAATGACTAGATAGCTATTATCATTTAACCAGAGCCCTCTAGTCTATTGCAAGGTTATTAAATGTATATGATTATTGCAACGCTGATGCATAGATATAAAAGTCTGGCAACCACCTATCTGATCAGAACAATTCTGAAGAGGATAATTAGCATGTCAAATACAATTTATAAAAAATACTCCAGCACATTTCCAAGAACATGAAAGAAAGTAAGAACACTCGAAGTTAAAATTTTAATTCATTTTTGCCAAATGTTATTAACATTTGATGCAAAAAAGTTCATACCTTTTTCTAAAATTACATGATTATTGCATGAATATGTAAGGTACTTAAGAAATAATAAGTAAAGAATAGTTCTGAATCCCAGGACACATAAAAAAGTATTTCAAAGTTACGATACAACTGAAATACATTATACAAATACACATCAATTCTTTGATTCATGAAGTCATAAATAACAAACCTAAGAAATATTGGGATTCAGAATAAAAGAAAGATCGAAGATACTACATTCCTGAATAATACTAGGTCACAATGACAATCATTTTCTCACAACATTTCAGCGGCATAAATTCATTTCAGTTCTTCCTATCGTGCTTCTGTGTAATGAATTACGATGAACAAAGTAAGAACTACATAGCCTTCATGCATAATATTTGTTGATAACAGAAATTATCACTTTATCTTGTTACAATGAAACAAAATAACATTTACAATTTTGCAAAAATTGTCAGATCATTTGATCCTGAGTAGTTTATTCTTCTCCGTAACTCCAGAAACGTAAGACATTGTGGATGTGCTGCATCTAAAATCCTTTAAGACACACGACACTGCTGACATGTTTACCTCTGGGCAAACAATTGCCGTCACTGGAAAGCAAACATGACGATGAGCATTGGAACTGCGACAATACAGGCCACGTACAAAGCCGTGCGAGGTTCGCACGAAGAAACGACTAGAAATTCCTCGTTCCAAAGTGATGCATTAGGACGCACGGGCATTTCCAAAACAAGTTTCTCACTTGAGAAAAAGTCCAGAGGCAAGGCACACGGCTGAGTGGTGTTGTGGCAGGATGCTACAGGCGACGAGACGTTGTATACAACTCGCTCTAGATGAAAGTGGGCTCGGATGTAGTTAGTTTGTACTTCATTCTCGCTTCCGAAAACGAAGAAGTAATATCCATTGGTTGGTACCCTATGGAAAAAAACATAAACAACTTTTATTACATTCTATTACTTAGATGTTAAATACCAAAATGTAGTAGGTCTATAAGTAACTAGATGCACGCTAGCACCAAGATCACTGGAAGTAAAAAGAAATGGAAACATGATGAGTCCTTGGAATCATTTCGTGACGACTACAGTTTTGGACGGGCTTCTGTCTTTAATAACTGCAGCGGATCATTAGAGTGAAATTATGGCAACTTTGTATGAATGAGTAAACATAAACGTTCTGTTTCTCAACATGTCGTTTCTCAAAAACGACATCAATTTTTCCCCTTAAATGTGTTTTTAATTAGAGAAAAATTATCTTAAAAATACGGCACAGGTGCGGCTTACTTTAAAACTTCTGGAATTTCGAAAATAGAAAACGTTCAAATTTGTTGCGAATATGTCCTGCACCTTTAATACTTAACCAAGGGTTTTTTTCTTGTTAATGCAATCTATTCATCAACATTAGATCTTAACATCATTTCACGCATACGATTTTTCAAAATAGTATTAATTTTTTGCAAAATTTGTAGTATTATTTTTTAGTATTTCAACTAATAGGTACAATTTTAGTAGATTAGGGCAATAATATAACATAAAGTAACTGTCCAATAATACGAAAAAGTGTGTACTGTTGTAGCTAGTGGCTTACCTAGCCCTTTTCGGCGCCTCAGTTCAAACACTAAGTGGGAGCCCTCCTCCTCAAAAAATGTTTCCAAATAAAACAAAGCGAGCTGATAACTGCTTGAAGTATATTTCCCCCCTAGAGCTTTTATCTAGCCGATTACCTTTTACGTCCCGATGGGACGCGTTTTCAACAATACACTACATGCCTGCGGGCCCCTCAGATCTGGGGTCAGCAGAGCCCAAAGCCCTCCACGACAACACATACATGAGAGACAAGGTACAAACAACCAAGCCCAAAGCGGGACTCGAACCTCGTGACCCTTTGGACTGAAGCTCTGAGTCCGTACAAGCTCTTGGCCACCTCCGCCAACCAGGTCGGCGAAAGAAACTTAAGTAATCATAATCAATCATAAAATATAGATTCTAGTTCCGAGGTCGGTTTGGCGAACTTATCTATAATGTCGCGTAGGTTTTCTTTTAGCTCTATGGATAATATGCTACGAACTTATTTTTAATATTTTTGGAGAGGACCCCGGGGATGGATCACACTATATTACATTTGAATCTTTGAATTCAGCCTTCCCATATGTTCTAATGAAATATTTCAAATCACGTGTAATGAAACCCAGAATAGGGCCTCCCAAAACTTTAAATGAAGCAATAAATAATTGAGACTTCGAGATGTCAAATTGCAAATTTGGAAATATTTTCGCGTCATAAAATACGTAATTCATTTTTTAGAACTCATTTAAAATCGATTTTCAACTACTAATTGCCAAGTCATATTGGGGCCACAGTAATATTGGGAGAAACTAGAACACTCAGAAACATCCATGCCCCGGGCGGGATTCGAACCCGCCATCCTTCAGGCATGAGGCAGCTTCGGTTTTTCAGCCTTAGGGACCTCGGTTATTGAAAGCAGCATTTCAAACTTTACAATAGTTAATTTATGATAACAAACAAATAGTTTTCAGAAGGGACCTTTAAAGTGTGTTCAGTCCTCCAGTGTGTTCAGTTCTGCCGAGCCGGCGTTAGTTACACCTGTGGTTGTAGCATCTTTTAAAAGTCACAATTGTGGGAAAACATTTTCAAAATGTTGTATATGATACTATTTAAAGATGGAATTTAGAAGAACAGATTTCGTTCAGATTAAAAAACTATCTTCAAGAATATATTTGTAGAAGGAAGCCAAAAAAAAATGTTAACTTTTGCAATTTTCGAAATTTCAAAGGTTTAATTTTTCACATTTGAAGGTGTTTGGGTGAATATTTTCATGCTATCGAATAATACACCTACTAATATAATTAATAATTACTTTGGAAGACGGTTATCTTTATTTAAATGATGAACACAAAATGCATCATATTTATAGGTTTAAATTATTATAAAACTTGCCAACCATACGCTTACATCAATGTCTTAATATACGTATTGCATCAATTTGTTAGTGTTAAATGGTCACTTTGAATAATATTAATACGCTCAAGCTTTTCAATAGTACATTACGGTCATGTCAGATTGAACAAAGCAAACAGTGATCAGTTCTTGTTAGAACTTCCCGATTTGTATCGATTAATAGTGTTTGTATCTATTAATAATATTATTCCTTGTGTGAACTGGATAGTCCAGTTTTAAATTCGCTCTCCTTACGGACTTGTGCGTCCCAACACCTCTTGGGACCGAGCAAAACAAATCTCTCCTTGGGCGGCGGTGAGGCAGCGTGCGGCCTCGCGACAGGCCAAGGCCGTTGCGACCACGCTCCGCGGAGGAACACGTGGCAACTGTCGCGCGTGCGGCGTCGCCCAGAGCCCCCCTCCTCCCTCATCCCTTCCCCGCCCCCGCCGCCGGGAGCTCGCAGCGAACGCTTTTCGCTCTCTCACCCAGACCTACACCACTCTCACGATGAACTCCGTTCCCCACCCTGTCTTGTTTAGCCTACATTCCGGCCCAGACCATCTCGTCTTCACTCGCCTGTGCGACCCTTCAGCCCTTCCCCTCATCCTGTAGCCTTCCTTTTTCCACTCCGCGACCTCTGGCACTGCACCGCCGGCTGCATCCCGTGACGCGGCACTCCAACCGCTTTCGCTTCGTCCCTCATCGCGTCGCGGCGCAGCGTCCCGCTTCTATTCGTCACCGTTTCTTCCCTATTAATCCCCGCCTCACCTCACCTCACCCCGCCCCGCTCTCCGCCGCCTTGGCCGCCACTGCCCCGTCCTACTCCGCCCCACCTCGTCCCACTCTGGCCCGTCCTCTCCATTCGCACCTCCTCCTCCTCTTCCTTTTTTCTTCCCAGTTCCGCTCTGTCCCGTCCCGTCACGTGCCTGTCCAACGCGGCCGCTCGGTCCGTTCCGCACAGTCACGGCCTCTCGTGGCTACCGCCGCCTGGCAGCCAGACAAGAGGTTCGCCTTGTTTACTCGTCCTGGCGTGGTGGCGTGTCTTTGGGCGACGTCGCTCGCTGTTGGCGGAGGTGGCGGCAATGGCAATGGCGATGGCCGAAGCGATATCGCCTCAAGCTCTCGGTCAAACCCGGAAACGTCTCGCGGCCAAGAAGTGCACCGACTCCCCCGGGACACTACGCAATTCTCGTGAGAGTCGCCTTTCCCAGTCGACTTCGTTTTCGTCACAATGGCCGTTCCGTAGTACTGCAGCTGGAACGGGACGCAGTTTTCTTTCATCCAAGGTTGCTGGCTGGAAATCGGAACGGGTGTAGTATTTTTGGATACGGTCGAACGAAAGTAGAACAGTGTAAAATACGTTCTAGAATACCGACGGAAGGAGAATGGGTGTTGACTATTCTTTCAGATCGTAATGCATTTTTTGTTTTAAGTATCTTTTTAGATGATGATACTGGCACGGCTGCAGACGCTAAATCTAAAACTAAACTAAAAGTTATTTGTCATAACGATTAGAATTAGTAGGCTGTATTGAATTTAAGTTTTTAAATTTTTATTTTTGTATTATATTCACCAGATTACCCGTTATATCTAGAATAGCAAATAATTCTGCCTTCAAAGTATTATAGAAGAAATGTAAACTAATTGATTTGGAAGAAATGTAGCAGGAGTGAACAGATTCCCTTATAATGGCTCTAGCGATTGACGCAAAGGACAGAGTGACATACAAACAAGATACTTGTAAATAAGTAAGACCAAACACTTAATGACCTCGAAATGTAAATTTATTTAACAGGAAGATAACCTAAATTGTATTTCTATTTTAGATTCGGAATTATGAAGTACACAGAACCGCAAAGACGGAAGTCGAATGCATTGTAATATAGAATCAAGAAAATGCAATAAAATAGGACCATTAAAAATTCGAGATTTTTTAGGTTCTTCAGTGTTAATTATATTTCATTATTAAAAACTACTTGTTGGTTTGTGACAGTATCCCAAAATAATGTTCCCAAGAATATTACTGAATCATTATCTTATTCTTGTTTTTCACATTTAGTAGTGAAGCTCACAAAATTAACGAATATTCTGGAGATGGACGCACATATTTTTATTAAAAATTAAATTTTTGATTAATGACATACGATATTCTTTTTCGTCGAACATAACACATTCTTAATAATACTATATTCATCCGCTAAACGAATAGTATGTACCCCTACATTGATCAGGTTTTGAACTCCGGATACCAGATGTGGTATGCAAAATATCTGTTCGCTATGTTATGGCAGCATGAAAAATAAAATTATTGAAATAGTATTCAAAAGGTTACATTGGTCTACCATCGGCGCTACAGTGTATACTCTGCCCCTACAGCATGCACCAGTGGCTGCGCGGGTGAAAAGGCCAGCGCACTACAGGGAACGATAAACAATTGGAAGGAGAGGGCGCGCGACACGACCACACAAATGACAAGATCGAAGCTCGCGCAGGGCGAAACGACCACTGGATCACATCGCAAATGCGAACCGATTCCTTGACACATCGAGATACACAGAAGCGCGAGTAAACAGAAGTTATTGTAGTCCCAAACAACAACGCTCAAAGCGCAAGATCCGGCGCAAGTAGGCCGAACGGCCTCATTTGGCTGTTCGCCACGTCTCCCGCGCCGCCCTGCATCGCCCACCTCACCCCGCTCCACCCGTCCCCCTCTCACGCCCCCACCCCCCCGCGGCGGCGTCCCCACCCAACGACCTCGCGGGCGCAGCGCCGGACCGATGCGTCACGCCCCACGAGGACCGCGCTCGCTTTCGCCTTTTTGCTCTCGGCGCTTCCGGCATAAAGAAAGGAAAAGTCGGAAGACTTCCGACTCCCTAAACTTGGACACAAAGGAAGTAAGGAAAGGAAGTTCGGAATATGTTTTTCGCCAGCAATACTTGTATTTACTTTTATTTTACGTTT